ATGTATTGATATATGATTTGTTCCTCTTGTATGAAGGAAGTAATGTCTCTTGGTCGTTTGACGGAATGATACTGAGAGAACACATCAATGCTCAGATGATTGATATGGGGATATTGATATTTGTTTTATCGGTCCATTTGGGAATCAAGAAATTAGGGATATGACATAACGGGGATGTCACAACCATGCATCATGTACAATCTGGACATCAATGACACTAATAATGATCACAAGTTTGTTGATAAGTTGAATAACAAACTTTATCATTTGGAAAATGATAATGTATTGCTAGATGTCGTTATTCGTTTATAATGATTTATAGTTATTGCCAACATGATAATTCCCAATACGTGACATGCACTGTATCTAACTGAATTAGGAGGCCAAATAATTAAACTTTTAAATATAAATATATTTTTTATAACTTAATAGAATTACATTATTAAACTCAAGATATAGTTCAACATATCTTGAGTTTCTGTATGATTGAAATTTCTCTAGTATATGTCAATTGGATTTAAAGAATGCCTTCCTTCATGGGATTCTTAATGAGGATGTGTATATGGTCCAACCACCTGGATCTGTGGATTCATTAAAACCAACTCACATATGCAAACTCAGACAAGGAACTTTATGGGTTAAAACAAGCACCACGTGTTTGGTTTCCCCGTATGAGTTCATTCTTGTTGTCTTTCGATTTTATTCAGAGCATCGTTGATCCATCTTTGTTCATCTGTCGTAATGGTTTAGACACCATTTATTTCTTGCTTTATGTTGATGATATTGTGGTGACAGGAAGTGATGAGCATCTTCTTCAATACTTCATAGATTGTCTGGATCATGGTTTTGACATAAAGGACTTGGGTCATGTACATTATTTATTCAATATCTTGTTTTGTTGCACTAACATAGCACCAGTTACATGGCCTTAAATCCTATTTTTCATGCTCGTACCAAGCATATCGAGCTTGATTATCCCTATGTTCGTGAGAAGGTACCCGTGACAGCCATAAAGTATGTTACATTCCTATGAAGGATCAACGGATTGATTTGCTAACAAAGCCACTGCACAAACATCGTCATGAGTTTCTATCTACCAAACTTGTGCATCCAAGAATGCTAGTTTGCAGAGAGATGTTAAACTAACTGATTCTCCGTCAGAAATTCCTTCCCATATCAAAATACCTCTATTATATCAATGATATTCCAATAGATATGCCTAGAGCGTAGGATCAATTACAAGCCAAAATTATACTGATTGATATGGATTTAATTGCACAATTATATTGTTTGGTATGGCTGTAAATGCCTTTGATTATTTCTATTATTATCACCTTTTAATATACTATATATATAGTGCCATTACAAAACTCCATAAAGATCGGTTTTTACAATATATGATCAAAAGCTTAAAAGATGGTTTTTGGCACAACTGAAAATTCTAGTTTTGAGAAAATCTTTAGCCTCCTTCTCTCTCACATACACGCTCGTTCTCTTCCAACCTTTAAGCCTAATACCTCAAAGGAAGAAGACAACTTATGTGTTTTCTTGTGACAAAGAATGTGATTCGATTCATTCACGAGATACCATGGAAGCAATGTTCTGAAGATGGTTGCTTGGATTCATAAGCAATATCAAAGGTTGTTGCTCGTTAACATACATTTTTAAAAACACCTTTCCTATTCCGTTTTGTATAGATTCTTGGATGATTATGTTAATTTTCGTTGCACTGATGGCTCCCATGTCCGAGCATGCTCTCCAAAACCAGGAAATTGAATGAAATATGTTACCTTTGATGTAATTTGCCGTTATTTCTTTTTTTAAAGACTATAATACTTTATCCATACACGATTGAATAACTTATTACAGTACAAATACACCTTCATTATTGTAGAGATTCTTGAAACTTCTTGTTATGTGAAGATCGTTGCATTTAAGGTACTCGTCATTCTCTGATGTCGTAACGATTAAGAGTTCAATAGTGTGAACTAGATTAGGAGTTCGATAGTGTGAATTAGACGAGCCTGCCGACCATCTTCTACGTAATATGGCATGTTATCGTCTTTGTTGATTCAGACCGATTAATCTCTAAAAAGATGTGCACTACCAAAGTCTTTTTGGTGCCCATTACAAAAAGAATGTTACCATTCTTCTTTATGTTTTTTAGAGACTCAATAACATTCAAATTTATTTATTTGTTGTATATTAAAAAAGAAAATTACATCAAAATGATTTTGTTTTGATTTCTATTTTGTAAAACCTAATTTAAAGCTCTATTTTAGTGTTACAACAAGAGAGGTAGATTCAAGGGAAAATCCCTAAAAAAATAAAAAAATGAGTAACACCCTGATAACTATTCATTTGGATGCTATGTACATGTACATGCAAATAATTGAAGTTGCTTTTTGGTTTGTATTCACGTGTATATGTTATGTATATGTGCATACCTTACAATTGCTTATAAATTACTTATATGCACATGTCCATACCCTCCAAATAAGTGGTTACCAAAGTGTTGCTCAGTTTTTCATTTTTTTACCTTTCTCATCTGAACCTGACCCTACGACAAATATCTCATACAAGGTAGTTCAATAGTTTTTTTGTCACAATTTTTTGTTTAAGAAGTTATAATATATCTCTTTATTTGCTTAGAAATTATTGTATGATCTCTAAATTGCATCAAAGACATAATGCATTTTCTTAATTACATCAATAAGTACATACTTTGCAATGAAGTTTTTAAAAATATGTTTCTTAAAATAGGAAGCAAAACAAGTTACATTTCATTTTAATGCAACTTGTCTTTTTAATAGGTCAAAATGCAACAAAATTTGTTCATTTTCATACTTATTTTTTACAGGCAACTGATCTACATTGTCAAGTTATCAAGTTATATTGTAGATCTTGATAACGTGCTTGGATGGACCTACTGATAACTTGACAATGAAAAAATGGGGATCTTAAAGTGCACCCACTAAGTTTTGAAGGATGCGCTAATATGTTCTAAATCGTCGGATTAGTGCTTGACCTTCGAGATGTCACGAGTTAGACTCCTGTGTTTACTGAATATCCACCTTTTCATCTTTTAAATTTTGGATTCTAATATTTTTGTAAAAAAAATGAAGGAAGACAGTAAGGAGAAATGCCAAGCCACTGACTGTATCTAGAGAAGGATAATATTAAATCAACTAATCTACCATGATAATAAGAAATTTATCTATAGCTTTTACAGTCTAAGAGCATCTCAGACAGATTCTTCCAAATTAAGAAAATGGAGATTTTGCATAAAATTTTGCTCAAACAAATTATCGAAAATGGAGAAAAACATGTGAGAGAGTGTAAAATTCTCTAAATTCGGAAAACTCTCAAAAAATGATTACATTAAGATATAAACAAAAAAATTATTATATTCCAACCTTTATGTTAAATGTTTACGAGAGAAATAATATTCGATTAAATGTATGAACTATTTTAATAATATAATTAATGCTGTAAGTTCTAAAATAAAGAATATGTTTGAGTTGACGGTAACTTTTTTAAAATTTTTGAATTATAATTCTCTTGAAAATGTTAGAGAATATATTAAAAATGCTCTAACGATGCCATGACTTAAAAAACTTAGGGGGCGTTTGGTTCGCTGGAATCTGATGGAATTGGAATGGTCAATTTCGTTGACTAAATTCCATTCCAATGTTTGATTAACCATGTAATGAAATTGAATTCCAAACATTCCCTCATTTAAGGATTTCACCATTCCTTCATAAAAAAGATGAAATTGAAATTCATTTAATCCAAAATGTTATAAATAACAAAAAACCCTCACTACAACTTAATAACCTTAGGCGCACCTTTTCCATTCTCATCTACTGCTTCCAATATCGAACATGGTTTCTCTAATCTTGAACGACTTGTTTCATCTTCATCATCGATCGAAGACTGCAAATACGATTTCTACTTATGTTTTCTGCTTCTGATTTATGTTTCTGATTTCAATTTTTGCATACGATTTCTTCTTCCAATTTCAATTTCTACATACAATTTCTTCTTCAAATTTCGATTTCTGCATATGATTTTTGCTTCCAATTTTGACTTTTACATACGATTTCAGCTTACTGTTTTCTATTTCTGTACGATTCCTGTTTCTGGTTTTTGTTACTGTTTCCGATTTCTGTTTCAAGATGGCAGCCAAAAAGAGGTCACCAAAATCTGAAGGTCAAACAATTTGCTCATTAAATGCTAATTTTATTATTATTTGTGATTAAAAAAATATCAAAGAAAGGGTATTTTTGTCTTTTTTTCATCATTTCATTCCGATTCTGTTGTAAACCAAACAAGCAGATTCCAATTCATTGGATAGATTACATTCCGTTTTTGTCAATCAAACATTTGGTCAAACCTTATAACATTTCATTCTAATTTCTTCCAAATTCCAATTCCATCGGTAGATTTCATTTATTTAGAAATCATTTTACGAACCAAACATCCCTTACTGTATGTACACGAGTAATTACTTATGGAAATGTCACATTACCATCAAGAGACTACACTCAAGATAAAGACCTATTTACATATAAATGAACATTTATTATATTAAAGAAAAATAATTAAGGTTACATTTTAAATGTTTTTTCCTTAAAAATATTAAATAATTGTTTTATAGTTGTTGAATGATTTGTACAAGATGATTAAATGATTAAAATGATTAAGAGACTCTGATATAGTTCAAAATAAAATATAATTATTTAATAATTGTATAAAATAAAATTAAAATGCTTAATAAAAACCAAAAATACAAAATCATATAAGAAATTCAAATACCAACCGTTAAAAGGTAAATATGTCGTAAATTTTTTTTTTTTTTTTTTGTGTGATGATCGATCAATTTCAAATGATCCAAAATAATACTCGGTGTGATGATAAATACGCGTTGACACCTCCTCTCTCTCTCTCTCCAAAACCCATCTTTTTCTTCCTCTTCTTCATCTCCATCTCCATCTCCATCTCCATCATCATCAATTTCTAACTCCAAAATCTGCAGATAAAATCGATATCAGAATTTCTTTGTGATGAAGAACAACTCCCCATGAATCCCTCCTTCAAAAACCCACATGCAATGAACTATTTCTATCCCCATTTCATCATTCGATTCGTTCTCTATTTGCTTCTCTCCTCCAATAACCCTCACTCAACCCTCGTCGGAGCTAACCATACATCTGCCCGTTTCTGTTCCAGGTAGTATTCCTGATTCACTCTAATCTAATTTAATTCGATTCATTCACTGTGATGGAGTTGGCCACGGGTAAGCCCAGCTTCCTTCGAAATGTTGTGGTTCGATTTCTTTTGTTTTCCCTTCTCGTCGTCGGTGTTCGATTTACTTACGTGATTACAATCAGAGGCGAATCGTGCAGCGCCGGCGATGATTTCTGCTTCTTTTCCTCCACTTCGCCTGAAAATCAAAACCTTGTCACCGCCGCCGGAGGAAACCTTGGCTCTTCTTCGTCCGTTACCCTCGACCTTGCCGCCGCCGCCACGCCGGAGTTCCATAAACGCGTGATGTTTTATATCACCGTATTTCAGGATCTGATCGTCGATGGGTTTCTTTCGACGAAATCAAAGTCCCTTTGCGTCGAAACCCCCGTCGGCGAAGACGTGTATGCTCTGAGAGAGATCGGCGTCGATGAGTCGGTTGGAATTTACAAAAAAGCGTCAAAACCTTTGGTGATTAATGGGTTAGGGCATCGGCAGCCTTTTATGGACCACACATTTGATTTTATATTTTTGGGCAACGGAGTGTTGGATAGATCGGAGAAGGCGGAAGAGTTCGCGGCGGAGGTTGGACGGACGGTTAAACCCGAAGGGTATGTCGTCGTTCACACTGCTTCCAAAGATACATATAGTTTCAATTCTTTCATTCGTTTATTCAATTGTTGTAAGTTCATACGTTCCCGTAATCTGGATGGATTTGATTCTGATATGCCTCAAATTCATGAAATCGTCATGAAGAAACTATTTGACATCAAAATTAGGGAAAAAATTGGTAGTAGTCCGAGCAATCGCTGCTCTGTTCCTGGGTATAAACGTGATTTGTTACAGAAAGCTGAGCCTCTGATTGAATCAGAGCCATTGAAGCCATGGATTACATTGAAGAGAAACATTGAGAATGTGAAGTATTTGCCTTCCATGGTGGATATCAATTTCAAGCGGAGGTATGTGTATGTAGACGTTGGTGCTCGTAGCTATGGCTCGAGTATAGTTAGCTGGTTCAAGAAACAGTATCCGAAACAAAACAAAACCTTTGATATATACGCCATTGAAGCTGATACCCATTTCCATGATCAATACAAGTCCAAGAAAGGTGTTACCCTTTTACCTTATGCTGCCTGGGTAAAGAACGAGAGCTTGGTCTTCGAGATTAATCAAACCCCGGGTGATGAAAACGTTGAGAAAGGAAGAGGGATGGGTCGAATTCAACCAGTGAAATCAGGTGGTGGGATTGTTGGTTCTGTTGATGTGATTCAAGGGTTTGATTTTGCTAATTGGTTGAAAACCACTGTAACTGAGAAAGATTTTGTGGTGATGAAGATGGATGTTGAAGGGACTGAATTTGATTTGATCCCGAAACTGATTGAAACAGGTGCAATTTGTTTGATCGATGAGGTTTTTCTTGAATGCCATTATAATCGGTGGCAGAAATGTTGCCCGGGTGTGAGGAGTCCCAAGTATCAGAAGACCTACGGGCAATGCTTAGATCTGTTTAAAACTTTGAGACAACGTGGAGTTCTTGTTCATCAATGGTGGTAAACGGTACCCTTTGTTTTACATGAAAGTGTTGTAGTTTTATTTTATTTTCATTCTGCATCCGATTAAAGTTTCTGCAAATGAGAACTAATTGGTTTCCACTTTGTATTCGTTCATATTTTCTGATATCATCACTCAAGAAATAGCATACAACCATAGATGAGTTAAATAGGGCCTGATTCATTACCTCTTAATAGTTCCACTAAAAGGTCGCCTCTGAATCGTGAAGAGGTGAATCTTGTGTGGCAAAACAAATCATGTCTATTAAATGGTTCTAAAACCCTTCGAATGATTTTGTATTTTGAGCTTCCCTAAACCATTAAGCACCCTAATGTCATTATGAATAATTACCAGACAACCGTATTTCATTTGAACTATGTCATAAGAGTTTGATCATTTTAACCACTTAATCATCTTGCACCAAACCATTCAGCAACTGTCAAACAGCTCCTTAATTTCTTATTTATTTGCCTTGTATTTTTTAATTTTAATAATGGGTACTTGCAATCCTATTACAAGATCCATGATGTTTGTAACATAGATTGGTAAATTGTTCCGTGGGCTGTTTAGTTGGTTTTTCATTAAGTCCTGTATGGACACAATTGATACAACTGATTGGTGTATTAATGTGTGTATAGATGGGGAAATTTTTTGTTTGGGAGGACTTCTTCATAGATGGAACGAGCACATTTTTTAATTGGGAAGAGACAGATTTGGAAAAAACTTGGCTTTTTACATAAACTCCCCTAGAAGCTTACTGAATAAGCTATTTTCTATATCATTAAGCCACTACCAAATAGTCATGTATAACTGAATGAATAAGTTGTGAGTCCCATTAAACTTATTAAACTGCTAACAAACAGGTACCTCCAAGATGGTATTAATATCAAGATTTGTCTTCTTCGATTTTGTTCTCTCTTCATTTATACCCTCGACTCAACATGAGTAGCCTTATTAAAGATGGCAAAAATTATACCATTTGCTAGGCCAGATTGATTGACTATGGGCATATCATTATGCTTATATAGCTTGGTTGCTTATATGTGGCCTATTGTTGTGCTTTCTAGATATGTTTCTTTTCTTCTATGTGTGTCGATGTTTTCTAGGAAACAACCTCTTTCTGTGTCTTGTGAGACAGAGGTAAATCTACGTATATCTTACCCCCTAGACCTTCCTTACCTTCAGGTAGGATATGCCGTGCATTTTTGGTTTAGTTTACATACCAGGGCCATGCTGTGCATTCTTTTTGGTTGATTCTATATGCAGATGTGTGAAAGATGTTGCATAAGAAACAAATGAGTCTTGTGACTTGTTGGTGTCATTATGTCTTGATTCTTTCTCGTTGGTTTTCTTGGGATATTTTCTTTCTTGTAGTTGTTGTTGATGGCATTAGCAGCTTGGGAAGTTTTTAAGGTATTTTCTTCTTACAGCAACAGATGAATTGTTTGTTAGCAGTTCAGTAAGCTATACATGACTATTTGATAGAGGTTTAATGATATAAAAAGTAATTTTTTTCAGTAGGCTTTTAGGAGGGAGTTTTTTTGCATAATGTCAAGTTTTTTTTTCCATATTTGCCTCTCCAAATTAAAAAACACGCGTCTTCTGTCTATGAAAAATCCTCCTAAACAAAATATTTCTCAATTTATACAGACAAATTAATCTTAACAGGTAGTTTTATCCATATAGGACTTGATGAAAAACCAACCAAATAGCATTTCGGTTGTTCTGGTGTGTTTTTGAAGGTTTTTGGCCTTTAGCTTTCAGATACAATGTTGTATGTTTTAGAAACTGTTTATAGATGCTTGTTCACTGCTCTTGGCTTTCTCTTTTTGTGTCTTTTTGGAGTTTGGTGATGGGTTGGTCATAAATTGAGGGTGGGAAATGGGTCCCACATGTATGTTAAAGTATGTTTGGGATGGCCCCATGATCATGAAACATGAATCATGATCATGTGATGTGTGATATGTTTTAATTCGGCTTTCAACAACTCAGACTTGATTGTAATATGCCTTTTGCAGTTGGGAAAGCATGTTGGCCCAAATATGAGGTGTCAGATGAAGTCTTACTATCTTTAGGATAGATAGATAGGATAGGATCAACCCATCTCAAAATATCATTTTATCTATATCAATACTTCTTTTCTGATTGTCTGGATGATTCCTTTGTGGTTGGCTTCTTTCTCTCTCTCTCCCTCTCCTCTGTCTCTTTTTCTCTTCTTTCCCCTCTTCTCTTCCTTTCTTTCCCCTCGGGGCGCCTTGAATATTTCTGGTGGATGTGGTTCGCCCCCACCCGAGTGGGTAATCTGTTCTGCTTTTAGCATTTAGCGTTTTTCTCTTGATAGGAGGAGCCTTCCCCCTCTATATCAAAAAAAAAAAAAATGCACCATTTAGTTGATATTTGAATCCCTTTCTGATTTCATTTACATCAACATCAAAATAATTATTTTTCTTCATATACTAACATCTTTATTTACGAGGTTAATTGGATTTCTTAGGTCATATTTGAATGTTTAATCAATGTGTTGTATTTGCTTTGCAAGAACTGATAGTTATGTTTAGAGATGGGTATTGAAGATCGATTTTGATGGAAATGTGATTTCCGATTTCAATGTCAGCTTCGGCTTATCTGTTAGTTCAACTATCATTGTTGGAAGCCCGTGCATTTTGTATCAGAAATATCGAGCCGACTAGTTAGGGTTTTTTTTTCAAACTAGTAGTTGTGGGTCGGGCTTTAACTTATTATTTCGTGTTTCGGCTTGCTTGCTTGCTTCATAKATTTTGATGTTATTAATCCAACAAACAACAAATGAACGAAGAAATCATGAACATTCGAACTCAATCTAGAGGTGAAGTCCATAACAGAAGAATCATCTTCTCTCGGAATGGTTGCTTATGTGGGCAAAAATGTTGCAAGGAAATTGTGCTCAATACAAAACTTAGATCACATTTCGAGACTCTCTGTCATTTAGCATCGAGCTATAGTCCATTGCTTTCATTTTCAATTTGGTGTCTTTAAAGATAAAAGTTATTGAACACATGCTTTTGTTTCGCTTGACAAGGCTTGTCTTTAAAGATAAAACCATAACCATCCCGATCCTTGTCGGGGATCCCCATCGATCCTTGCGGTATTCCTGATCCTCGATAGAGAATCCGTTAAGAATAAAATAACCGTTATCCGTTGGTTTTACCTGGACTCTTACCTGAACCCGCAATCGGCCTGGAAAAAACGCAAATTTCTCAAACAAAAATTGGGGATAAATCATGACAAAATTAGGAGTAAATAGTGGAATTTGACCATACATACATGATCAAACGTAATTAAACCAAAATATAGACAAAAGAAGATCAAAATTTCCCAAACATGAATACATAATCAACCCAATTATGAACAAGAACGTCTTAAATCACAATCTCAAAATAAACTAGAGCTTAGACATAATTCAACTAACATCATGATTCACGATAGATAAATAATCTAGATTGCTGACTCAAAACCGGAAATTCCCAAACGGCCGAACTCGTCAACCCAAGCTTTCACTTTCCTTAGCTTCCTATAGAATAAAATGTATGTAAAAGAGTAAATAAATAAACATATCATAATCATTGTCAGTAATATTGTAGTTACCTCTTCCACGTCATAATCATACTCAATAGTACGACAATACGTTTCGGTCTCATCAGAACAAGTTTCTATAAACAACACAATATAATATCAATAAGAAAATGATTAAAATATATAACTAAAAACAAATATAAGGTTACCTCGTATTGTATTTAATAACCAACTTTGAGCACACATTAGAGCCTCCAATGTTTTTGGATGAAGTCGACTAAGATGTAGAGTTATCAATCTTCCACCGGTACTGAATGCAAATTCTGAAGCGACAGTAGAAATAAAAATAACTAATATGTCTCTAGCTATCCTTTGAAGTGTTGGGTATTTAAATTCATTTGTCTTCCACCAAAGTAGCAAATTAAGCTCCATGTGTTTAGACAAAAGTTTCTCTTTCAAGTAATTATCCAATTATGTTGTAATACCTAAATCATCAATGTTGGTTGGAAATTGAAATAATGTTAGATAAGAGTTTTTTAAATTCAACCCGATCACTTGCTGAAAACCCTGAACTTAAAGAAGACGAACCATTAACACCTTCGTTGTTGTTTCTTATGCCAGGATCACTAAATTCATATTCTTGAAACAAAGTGTAGACCAATTCCTTGAGCTTTTCAAGTTCAATCGCCGATTTGCCTTGTGTACAACACAAGAAAAAGTAACTCCACAAACTTCAATTTATACCGAGGATCTAAAACCACTGCAATTCCCATGATCCCGTGTATAATAGACCAATACTTGTCAAACTTCAAAAGCATTTTTTTAGTCATGTTACTAATAACTTCACTAGGACAACATGATCAATTGACTAAACATATCTAATTTCACCTATTGATGGAAAAAATACATTTGTAATGGGATACTTTGAACCAAAAAACATTACCGTTACCTAAGATTGCCACAAAAAAGAAAAAAAAACTAAAGTTACCTCATATCAACAACACAAAAGTAAAGTTTAAATAAAAATTAAAGTTACCTCATAAAATAATTGCAGTCTATCACAAATCTCTTTAGCAAATTCTCAATCTCGCTTCATTGGCAAACTTTTATATTGAGACTGTCATTGCTTTAAGCGTTGCAAGACGTCTTTGTAAACTATAGCAACAATAATCATCAAATAAGTAGAGTTTCATTGAGTCTTGCAATCAAGTGAATTTCTTGGTGGATGATATTTCCAATTGGCAAGCTGCTTCCTCAAACTTTTGATCTTTTTTTGGCGATGCAGTCCAAAAGACCACACTATCTCTAATCCTTTCAATCCCCTCTTCAAGAACAGACAATACATCTTGAACTATCAAATTGAGAACGTGTGCACAACATCGCATGTGGAACAACCTCCCACCCATCATAAGTAAACTTATAGGAAGCTTGTCCAACAATATGTTGATTATTGCATCATTTGTGGTGCAATTTTCAACGGTTAGTGTGGACAGTTTCCTATGAAGATTCCAATCCAACAAACAATTATAAAGTACATCAACAAGAACTTCGGATGTATGTTGACAAGACACATAAATAAACGTGGTTCGACATTTGATACG